GTTCCCCCCTTCAATTGCTAAGGTTTTTTCATCGTTCAACAATATCCACGTAGAAAACCAATTAAGGACCGATACAAAATAATACAGTTTCAAATTTGGTAGGCCCAAGCCTCCTCTAGCTTTACAGTCACACATGATCTTTTGGTTGCACCAAGCAAACTTTTGGAGAGGCCTGGAACAAGACCCAGTTCTAGAAGGGAACACATATTTTCCATGAAAGGCATCACAGAAGACTTAGCATGGGATTGTCCCTACTATTAAGCAACACTTCTAGTGACAGATGTTGGGGGGACAACCAGAGCTTGAAAGGAACTTGTCAAAAGCAATACAGATCAAGTCTCCCTTATCTGAAAGGCATGGGAACAGAAGTATTTTGGATTTTGGATATTTTATTTTATTGAATTTGGAATATTTGCATATACATAATAGAGTTTGGCAATGGGCCCCAAGTCTAAACATGAAATTCATTTATATTTCGTATACACCATTTACATATAGCCTGAAGATAAATTCATACAGAGGGCCCTTGGTATCCTATAGAATTTGGTTCCAGGACCCCTCCTCCCGTGCATACCAAAATCCATGGATATTCAAGTCCCATTATATATAATAATGTAGTAAAATGGTGTCTCTTATATAAAATGGCAAAATCAAGGTTTGCTTTTTGAAATTTATTTATTTATTGGAATATTTTCAAGATGTGGATTGTTGACTCCATGGATGCAGCATCCATGGATATAGAGGAATAGCTGTACATAATGGTTTGGTTTTTTTTTAATGAATTTTGTGCATGAAACAAAGTTTGCATACACTGAACCATGAAAAAGCAAAGGTGTCACTGTCTGAGCCACCCATGTGGACAATTTTGGATTTTAGAGTATTTCGGAATTCAGAATTCCTACTGGCTATCTGTTTGGGATGGTTTGATTTTGAGTTCCTGCATGGCAGGGGGTTGGACTGGATGGCCCTTGTCTCTTCCAACTCTATGATTCTATGATTCTATAATGGATACTGAACCTGTAAACATTACTCCAAATCATTGTAATGTCATTGACATTGATGTTCCAAGGTTTATAATAATCAGTAATATTAACTCAAAATAACACTTTGAGTGGCATATGGAGGAATTGTTAGCCACTTCAGGCCTTTTATTTTAAATTTATTTTTAAAGAAACAAAAGTAAAGCCTTAGTAAAATGTTACGACAGCCAGCATAGCATAGTTGTTTGAGCATTGGACTAGGATTCAGGAGTCCAGGTTTCGAATCCTGGCTTGGCCATGTAAACTCATTAGGTGACCTTGGGCAAGTCACACACTCTCAGCCTCAGAAGATAGCAATGGCAAACCCCCTCTGAAGAAACTTGCCAAGACGACACACAACCACAACAACAACAACATATTACGTGAATGAGTAAGGCAATGTGTCACCTTTAATTAGGTACAGGTAACAGCAACAAATTAATGCCTTTTAAATTAATCCTAACATTTTTTTTCATTTTTCATTTGCTAATTTGTAACTGTAACTAATTAGCAGCAATTTGGGACATAAGAGCTAAACTAGAGGTGGGTAGATGAGAACCAGCATGGTGTAGTGGTCTCAGAATTGCACTATAACTTTGGAGACCAGGGTCCAAATCTCCATCAGCCATGGGAACCCACTGGGTGACCTTGGGCAAGTCACACTCTCTCAGCCTCAAGTGAAGGGAAAGACAAACCCCCTCCAAACAAATCTTGCCAAGAAAAATTCTGTGATAGGTTCACCTTAGTGTTGCCATAAGTCAGAAACAACTTTAAGGCACACAACAACAGATGAACAAAGTACAGCCCTCTGGATAATGTTGGACTCCAATTCTCAGCATTCCTCACCCTCAAAACTCCCAACTGCCTAGAGTTGATGGGAGTTTTAGTCCAATATGATTTGCCCCCACCCCCCAGACTTACACCGTAGAAATCTTTTCTTCCTTTCTAGGTATTAGAAATACATCCTTCAAGAGTATGGTGTTCAATGTTCTGTTTTCCTCCTACATTCTGGAAGTGGGTTTGTTATCCTTTCTGCCTGACTCTCCTTTTAGAACCTTACACAAAGATCTGAAAATGACCTGATAAACAACCAGATGTTGATGTTTGATTAATCTGTTAGAGAAGAAAATAATGCTTTGATGAAAGCTCATCTTCCTGCCATTTCCAGCAGAGTGGCAGTATGGTTGGAGGTCAATAGATGTTCTTATCCCTGTGAGTTTTGTTTATTTGGTTGCACACTGTGTTTACCCACAGAATGTATCCAGGGGGACTGCCTATTAGCTTTGGCAAACTGTACACACGTTTCAGTTTTTTTAGGTGCTCGGTACATGACGCTGCCCTGAAATGAGGAACTGCTGAAGCCTCCACATTTTCTTACCATTAAACAGAAAAAAGCCTGTAGATCAACCTGTGCTTGGAAAATGAGATGTGCTGATCTAAACATGTTCCTTGGTCTGAATGCAAATAAGGACTCATTACAGTTTAGGGGGTCAAAAAATCTCTGGTGCAAGCCAGCACTGGCCAACTAATGGAGCCTGTCCTCACACAGGGGATATATTTTTACACCCAATGGGATTAAATGGTCTGTTTCAAGACTCTGGGCATTTGCAGACAGGATGGGATCCAGGCATTCATTTTCCTATCTAAATAAAATAGTTCTGCCTAACGAATGCTAAGCAAGCAAGGAACAGATCTGAACACTCTAATGCTCTTCAAAGCACCTTTTAAACATTGTTCTATTTTGTGCTAGGAGAAAAAAAACCTTGAAGATATTGATGGCATGCATGGCTTGAAACTGTAGCTATATTGAGTGCTTTAGGAGAAAACTTCCAATATATTTAATTTAAGAATAGAGGGATCATTAAGGAGAATGCACCAAGAGAGAGCTACAAAGAGAGAGAAAATGTGCTCACCTACGGTAATGGCTGAATTCTCAGTTCATTAAACAGACAGTCTATAAGCATTTAGAAAGGAATGCCATAATCACTAAAAGTCAGCATGGGTTTCTCAAAAACACATCATGCTAAACTAATCTGATTTTGTTGTTGTTGTTGTTGTTATTGTTAGAGTCACAAGCTTGGTAGATGAAGGGAATGCTGTGGATGTAGCATTTATCTTGATTTCAGTAAGGCCTTCAACAAGGTCCCCCATTACATTCTTAAAACACCAGCAAGTAAAATGAGGGCTAGACAATGCTATTAAGTGGATTTGTATTTCGTTCACCAACCAAACTCAAAAGGTGCTTAGCAATGGCTAGTCTTCATGTTGGAAAGAAGTGACCAGTGGGGTGCCACAGGGTTCTGTCCTGGACCCAATGCTATTCAACATCTTTATCAATGACTTGGATGAGGGAATAAAAAGCATGATTATCAAATTTGCAGATGATACCAAATTAGGAGGGATAGCTGTCCCAGAGGACAGGATCAAAAGTCAAAATAATCTTAATAAATTAGGCCAAAACTAACAAAATTAATTACAACAGGGAGAAATGTAAGGTACTACACATACAGCCTGTGCAGACCGGACAAAAGGGCCGGCCTGGGGGTGGAGTTGGGCTGGACCGACTGCATGCCGGCTGCCCCGACAACACCCCAACAACGCTGTCATAGCTTGCACCCCACTGCACGGCACACGGCATCAGGGCACCCCATTGGCGCAGCGTGTAGACATGCTATGCCAACAGGTTGCAAAAGAGCCGCTGCCACAGCACTAAAGGTGACTTTTTGCCTCCCCAAAAAGGAGCAGCATTTGCCAACTCTTTTTGGAGTGGCAAAAAGCCGGATGGGGCAGCAGCGTGTGGTTGTCATGGCCTCAATCCAGCTCTCTCAGGGGTGGCACAGAGCCGTCCCTTAGGGGCCATCTGTATTGCCCCTTTGGCAGAAAAAATGAAATGCACAGACATAGGATGGGAAACACCTGCCGCGACAACAGTACATGAAAGTGGAGTCTAGTAGACCACAAGTTAAACATGATAACAGTATGATGTGGCAGCTAAAAAAGCCAATTTAACTCTAGGCTGCATCAATAGAATTATAGAGTCTAAGGGCCATTGCAGACCAGCCCACAGGGCCAGCCTGGGGGTAGAGTTAGGGCGGGGCAGCTGCATGCCAGCCACCTCAACCCTACCCCAACGCCATCCTGTACGCACATTATACGGTGTCAAGATGCCTTTCTAGCACAGCGTGCAGGCACGCTGCACCGAAAGGGCACAGAAGAGCCATGGAGTGGCATTTTAGGGGCAGCAAAAGAAAGGATCAGGGCCGTCTGCATTAGCCCTAGATCAAGGGAAGTAATACAACCACACTATTCTGCTTTGGTCAGACCTCACCTAGAATACTGTGTTGAGTTCTGGGCACCACAGTTCAAAAAGGATGTTGACCAGCTGGAGCATGTTCAGAGGAGGACAACTAAAATGGAGAAAGGTCTGGAAACCATGCCCTATGAGGAGAGCTGGGTAGGTTCAGCCAAAAAAAAAAAAAAGAAGGTTAAGAGGTGATATGATAGCCCTGTTTAAATATTTGAAAAGATGTCATACTGAAGATGGAGCAAGTTTGTTTTCTGCAGCTCCAGAGAATAGGACTTGGAGCAACAGATTCAAACTACAGGAAAAGAGATTCCACCTAAATATTAAGAAGAACTTCCTGATAGCAAGAGCTAGTTGACAGTGGAATATGTTGCCTTGGGGTGTGGTGGAGTCTCCTTCTTTGGAGGTTTTTAAACAGAAGCTGGACAGTCAGCTTTGCTTTGACTGTGTATTCCTGCATGGCAGGGAGTTGAACTGGATGGCCCTTGAGGTCTCTTCCAACTCTATGATTCTATAATTCTATGAATTGTTTATAGATCCTACCTGAGCAACACCCCTTAATTTCCTTAATTTCCCTGCTATATTAAAGGTTTCCACTATGGCAGGTATGAACAATAGTGGTTGACCCACAGGCCACAAGGACTGCCACAAATGCCTCAAAAAGCAAACAAATGGAAGTAGCCAGAAGTCCATTTCTGGTTTTGAGGAGAGGTGAAGTTTTTTAAATGTTAGATATAGCAGGGAAGTTGAGATCTATTTAAAAAGTCAGTTGCTCTTGGAGGCTTTCAAGAGAAGCAAATCAACTCTAGTTTTGACCAGAAAAAGGGCAAGCCAAGGAATCTGGATGGACAAGGGTGCAATCTTGGAGGCCACATGTGAATCCTGAGCTCCACATTGCTGGCCCCTAAATTAGGAGTGCTTTGCTCATTCAAGAGTTCTTATATGCTCACCAGGCACTGCAGTACTATTCAGTTAACTCCAGTCTTTTTGAGATGCTCAATCAAGTCATTCCTCCCACATGTTATGGCAAGTCAAGTAGGGGACGTTTGCCAACAAACAAATCATGATAGGCACATGGATGAATGCTTCTGTATGTTCCTGCAGCCGTTTTTGATTCTTCACATAGCAGAGCCTAGAAGCTAAGCTGGCCATATAAGCAAGCAAGAATACTTATCACAGTGTTAGACAACCTGTGTTAAAGAACGTCCATTGTAAGAACAAAATAAAGGGTGCTTCCCATCATAAGTCTCTTAGAGCTACCTGTCAAAAGGTATTGTGCAAGCTGTTCCACCTTTCCTTTCTTTATGTTTATGAAGAAACTCAGAGGAATAGGTGGGGAAACATGGGAGAGTTACAAAGTGAAAACAGTATTGTTTGGAGACAGCTGAAGTCATAAAAATAATGTGAAAGGTCAGGTAATTGTAAGTCAAAGCACCCAAGGACTAGTACTCCTGTTTGACACTCAGCATCTGCACATATTTTGACTTCTTCCTTCAGAATAGCTATTTGTGTTATATAAACACCTGTTCAGAAAACCAGACTTCTTGTTCCTTGACTGATATTTTGTAAGCCAAAGATTCCTATTTAAATATCTGCAACACTCCTCATTCTAAAGTCTTTAAAGCAGTACACAATGAATCTGTTTATTTTGGCTGTAATCTGCTTATTTAATGTTAGTCTTTTCCATAATGATCAGCCAAATCTCACCTGTAAATTTTATTTTGCAGGCAGAAACTCAGAAAGAAATTTAGAAGTGTAAGCAGGCAGGCAGGCATCAGTTTTGCTGATGAGATGGCTATTACTACATTTAGGGGGTTATTCAGATGGTGAAAATAATCTAGTAGAATCTGGGTTGAATCTTTGTTGTCAGCCATGTTTATAATCCCCAAGTGTTCCACATACACCCACGCCTAAACCTCAGATTCTTCTGGGTCCCAATCTGGCCCTCAGAATT